CATTCTTCTTCAGTTGCTACTCTCATTTCAGCAATTGTTTGAGGCTTCCTGCTATAAACTTTGTCTTTTAGAAACCCCCACAAAAAACCTGAAATCCAAGGGTGTCAGATCTGATGATCTAGGTGGGTATTCAACTGTTCGTCTTCTTGCAATCCATCTGTTTTGCATATTTTCATCCATATAAAAAAATGTATTATTAACTATTAATATTTAAAGAGTGTATACATTATTTTGGGGCACTTTGTATAAAAAACATACAAGAAAGACTATATACAATTTATTAAGTATTAATTACTGTCAATCTTGTCTCTAATACGACATATTGACCATTGTCAATCACATAAAAAATAATACCTATTTTGTTGTTTCCACGTTTTGCTACATCTCCACTTCCTCCATTCAGGATTTTCTCCAGTGGATTAAAACGTTGGTTTGTGAATTTAGTGACACAGATGTGAGTTCAATCCCAAACAATAACTGAACAGTACTACATAAGTAGTTGACGATATATACCTAGACATTGTCAGGGGAACCAGAACAATCTACTCCCGTAGACTAAATAAAGAGGGTGCAGTTCGAAATTTTTTGAGGGTTACCTGAATCGACAATCACCTGAAGGTCCGAGAACGCAACGACCGAAACGTTGTGATATTAACAACAAAGATAAGGCCAATAGTTCAAATATATTATATATATATATATATATAATGTAAATAATAATAATAACTTGACATTCCAGACATTGAGACAGAAATTACATCAGACCTTGTGCTAGACTAAACTAAAAAAATATGTCTAAATGAAATAAAATTAGCAAAAAAGATTAAAAAAAATATAAGCAGAAATAAAATGAGGTTAGGTAAAAAGTACATTTTCCAAAGAAGCAAAGTCGATTAAAAACTAAAAGAAATAATTTAGACAAAAGAATGTAATAAGAACGTTTAGAAAAAAAATAATTAATTAAAAAAAAGGAAAAAAAAAACATTGATAAGGGTTAGAAGATAGCAAAAGAAAACTATATTTTGAAAGAGCAAGTGAAGGATGAGGTAGCAAAAGCGAATATAGCAATGAAAGAAAAGAGAGAGCAAAGATGAGACAATTGTGAAAAAGAAGGGGGAGCATGCAAAGAAGAAAGAGAGTACTGTGAAAAAGAAAGTAGAAAATTCAAAGAAGAAAAATATAAAAGAAAAAAAGATTATAAAAGAGAAATCGAAAGCTATGTAGTAGAAAGAGAAGCTAGCAAAAACGAGACACCGAAGAAAAAAAAAAAGAAATCGAAGTTAGAGAAAATGGCGTCAAAGTAGAAGGTTGTATCATTGTACGATAAAATGATGATGGAGACATGAAAAAATTCTTAAGGGGAAAGAGAGGATTTAAAAGGGGAAAAGAATAAAGGGAAGAAGAGATTAAAATGTTGTTTGAAAAAGAGACGGCATTAAAGAATGAAGATAAAAATGCAATGAACAAGGCGAAGGAAAAGAAAACAAGAAGTGACAATCGCGAGGGCGAGCGGGAAAAAAAGTAACAGGAAAAAAAAGACTGAAAAAATAAATAATCTAACCAAAAGAAAATAAATAGCAATTTCATTTTCCTTGTGGTAATTGACCTCTACAACTGATCTTTATCTTTATCAGAATCGGTAAGAAAACAAAACTTGACTTACTTGTGTTTGGCCAACAACCGAAAATGATTTCTGTGCTGTTGTCGACGGCGAAGGTTGCCAAAAAAAAAAAAAAGAAAAATGGTCGCCGTTGAACAATTTTCTGAGAAAACGAAACAAATATTAACCACAGAACACTTTCCGGAATTTGTTGTACAAAAGACATTTATCTTCTTTCGGAATAAAAAAAAAATATCGAAGCCTAGAATGATTTTATTTATGACATTGATGTTGGTCGAAAGAACTTTAGAATCCCAATAAATACACTCCATGCAGAAATTATAAAAACATCGAGCATTTTCAACATTTCTCGTGGAATTTGCTTAAAAGCCCAGACTTTTTTTTCTATAATACGTTATTATTTATTTGCAGATATTCCCAGCATGGCAATAAATTTCAAATGTTATTCTTCATTTCAGGAGAGAGTATACTTTTAGAAAGAAAGAAAGAAAACACAGTAAATGATCCTCAATAATTATAGAAATTATACGAAAATCATAAGATTTTATTAATAAAGTTATATTCATCTAAAGGTTAATAACTTATGGCAATACCTTTTGTCTTGAAATAATAAATGGTATATCTATCACCGAGCTTTCCAATTTAGAGATTGTAGAATGAGTGATTATCTTACTTGATAGTTACTACTGTCTGTAATTCTCTCAGTACCAAGGATACCTGTAAACGTTTTCGGTGTTTCACTTCGTAGATCATGCAAACAAAACAAATTTAGTTGATAGGTGTTTCACGTATAAAAAATACAAAAGAAGACAGTTGTTTGCAGGCCAGTTAAGATTGAAAGGCTTTTCGAATTTTCCGATTACATGCTCCTCCAGATTAGGTAGCTTTTTGAGTATCACTTATGTCCATTGGTATTTGACTTCTAGGTGACGTCTGCGCAAACACGGTTTCAACTTAGTTCACACCATTACTGCATGAAAGTTACTGAAAGACAAGATGTTGTGACCACGAAATTTCTATGCTTTTGTACACGGCTGACTGTTTGTGTCACTTTATATACATATATATTTTGATAGATTTTCTCTAGTGTCATTTGCAATTTCTCGTCTAGACAGCTCAGAAATCTTCATTTTCTTGCCAGATTTTTCTCCTGATTCACTATTCGTATCAGGATTCCTCAAAAGGTTGCGTATCACACTGATAAAAAGAGTTTTTCCTAAATGCTGTAAACGGCATTTCAGCATTCGGGGTGATTGTGCACGGAGATCATTACCTCATTTTGTTCCAAGCAAGAATGCGTTTTATTTTAAAGAAACCAACGAACCTTCAGTCATTTTGAGGGAAACATTTCGGAAACACTTCCGTGCTCAATTCACAGAAATTCAACAATTTCACAAGTTCTTTTATATTTCCTGTACACCACCAAAATATCAATCTGAAAACTCAAGACATGTGCTTAAATAACCTCGTCAGATTGAGACATACATATGGATGTCATGCATGGCGCGAAACACGTTTAGAAATGTCTAATCTGTCAGCAGTATACAACCGCTTACTAATATCTTGTAATGAAATGCTTTGAGCAAGTAATGCCTGAAGGGCTTGGCAACGATCACACTTCTTTGAATATATTAAAATGGTGTGTTAGAATCGCAAAGCTATAGCAAATAACATAAATCACATCACTTGAAAACTACCAACAGCAGTAACTACTAAAATGGATAGCACATGTAAGTCAAAAAGAAGTTAATGGCATAATGAAGATGTTAACATTCCACACAAACTTCCTATAAAGATTTAGGAAGGAAACTCCCATTAATACTGGAAAGAGCGATAACAACTACTGAACAAGAGAAACCTGTTTTCCTTTATTGTTTTAAGAGAAATATTTTATAAATTTCATCAGAAAGCAGTACTGGCTTCTCAGTCAATAAATTATTATTAGATGAAACACTAGCTGTAGGTAATCAATGTTTGTCAAGCAAGCGAAATTCAAATGTTTGTTTGCATTCATGCTTATATAAAGGAAGCTATCGTCAGACGAAATTGCTGAAAGAAGCAAATCATTTTTGAATTTCTGGATGCTTGGAAAATGGCTGTGAATTCTCAAGGTAATTAATTTGAAGGGAAAAGAAAATATCACTGTTCTAGACATGGCCCTTTTGTTACTGTAAACTTTTATGGCACATTATAGATATATATATATATATATATATATATTATAAATATTAATATATATATATATATATATATATATATATATATATATATATATATATATATATATATATATATCAGGAATTTCAAAATGATAGAATCCAGGTAGAACTCATTTGTCCAGAACAGAGTAAGAATATAATATAAAAAGGCTTTACCTAATATTCTATGGTTATAATTTATAAATTATAACCATGGAATATAAGTTGTTGAAATTTTATATATTATATTATATTTTTATATATATATATATATATATATATATATATGTTGTTATTTTGAAAGGAAATGGCTATTATTGCCATTGCCAATAAATCAACTTTCATAAGAAAATTGGACTCATTTAACAATTTATAGAATACTTCAGAAATATATATACAGTTCGCTTACACATGCGTGACAGTCTTCTGAGTATGAAACATCTCATTCGAACAATAAATTCGTCATTTCTACAGTTCTTATAATTTATGAATGCAGAATATAAGAGATATTATCTTAATAATTCTTCTTTCTGTATATTATTTATTTACTTCATTATCATATTTTAGGTGAACATTTTGGGCCTAAAGTGGAATTTAACATTTTCTGTTGGTGTTAATGATAATTTATTTCACTTCTAAAGGAAGATGCATCATGATTATTATGGTACTTGACTGAAATAGATAAATAGCAAGTAACTTACTCAACAGCCCCGTTTAAATGGATGAAAGAACAATGACAAAGAGAAGTGATAAAAATATAAATAAAAGTAAGAAAGTTGTGGAAAGCAATGATTGTCGACATTTTAAGAGGACATGACATACAAAAAGAGAACTTTATAAAAGATCCTGCATACTGGATGGCGTATATTTTTGAGGAAATCATTTGAAGGAAAAAAATGCTCCTACTTTGGATAAAAAAATTGAAATCTATAAAACGGATTTCATCAGTTAAATTTCCTGTTAGATTATCTAGTCAGCTGCCATTTGCCTGAAGGGGAATGTGACTGAAGCATTAGTGGACAAGGCAAGATCATCATGTTTTGCGAAAAGATGGAGTTGGCAGCTGGCAAGAAAATTTGCTTGTCCTCAATCCCACTGAAATTCTTGGAGCCAACATAAAGAAGCCTGTCGTAAATAACCACTTGAACTTGCTCAAATATCAACCTTACTGAAAACCTTTACTGAGGTGCAGTGTCAAAAGAATTAAAGGCAGTACAGTACAAGTTCAAAAACCACCAGCATTCATTTAAGACTTGTATAGATTATCTTGAATATTAATGATGAGAAATAAAAAATGATATTTATAAACCGAGGACTTCTTTTTTGCAAAATAAACATTATCTATTCCTGAATACCAGTGTAAAAAATTGTCCTTTGGATATGATTCTTGCTTTTTCTTTAATTTTAAATAAAAAAAAATAAACACATATTTTATATTTCTTAAAATAACAATTAAAACAGTTTTAAAAAATTATTCTGTTGGAAGAAACAGAATATGAATTATAATATCTGTATACACTAAACTATATTACACTTAATTAATGCAATAGGGCAATTAATGCAGAAGTATTTCCGAGTGTTTTTGATCTTACTAGACAAACAGTTCATTGAAAAGGTTTGAATTAATTGAAATTTAAGTGAAAACATATTTCAGTATCAAAATAAATGAGAGGTCGACTACAGTTCAAAAGTTTGAAGCCACTCGCTGAATTAGCATGAGCTTGAAAGAAGAGTGAAAAAATGGAATCAAGTTCTTAGAGCCATTGAAAAAAGAATGGAATCAATTATCAAAGTTATGCTTTCAGAACATTTTGCAATGAATGGCAAAAATTTGTGCTGCACTAATCAATGATAAAGGAGGATATTTTAATGAGGTGAAAATTTAATCATAAATTTTTTTTTTTCCCTTTTGGTCATAATACAATTTCTAATATAGAATCATGTCTTACATTTTGTAACTAATTTTAAAAAATGCCAAATATGCCAAATAGTTTCCTCAGACTTCTGAACTGTAGTTTATATGATGTAGATATTGGTTTATTGCACACTCCAAACACTATATATATATATATATATATATATATATATATACAAGAGAGAGAGAGAGAGAGAGAGGAGATTGTGCAATAAGTATACACAAAACACACACAAATATATATATATATATATATATATATATATTTATATATATATATATATATATATATATATATATATATATATATATATATATATATATATATATATATATATATATATATATATATATATATATATGTATATAGGTAGTGCTACCCTGGGTCAAGAGGATAGTGCACTATATATATATATATATATATATATATATATATATAGTCAATTTTACGTATACTTGATGAGGTCCATGAAAAACGTGTGAATTTCTTTTCATTTTTGATTTCAGCTTTTGGAAGTAAAGTCTGATGATTCAGAACCCTGTTAAAGGGGTTATGGTGAAATAGCTTATTACATGGAATCTTAACGTGGTCTGTCTATTTTATTCATATATATATATATATATATATATATATATATATATATATATATATATATATATATATATATATGTATTAAATACAAACAGACTACTTTTAAGGTTCCCTGCAATAAATTCTTTCACCACAGTCCTTTTAAAGGACTGCAGATCATCTGACTTTATTTGGAAGTGTGGATCCTTATGGTAATCCGATGGGAGGTAATCCAAAGAGAGCTAAACTTATTTTATAAGGAGCTAATATTCAGTTTATGGA